AAAAATCGCCCGAAGGTGCGCTTCCCGGTACGCCCCCAGAATCTCTAACGTCGCTTTCGGACCCCGTAAAGCAAGTCTGTGAAGCAGCGTCGCGCACGCCCTGTCTTCCGCTGTCGGACCTTCAGCAACGCTTCAAGCTGTCAGACCTTCCGCAACGCTTCCAGCATGCCCTCGGTTGCCTCCTCTGGCGCGCGCCCCCTTCAACCGGCGGGGTCGGCGGATATTCCACTGTTGATGAAAGAACTACGCTGCCAACGAACTGGAATCTCCAAAACTGAAATCCATGGAGATCCCATGACATCCGCGACTCGTGGTCCATGGTGGCCGGGTTTGCAGGTTTGGACCAGTCGTCGCAGCAGCGCTTGGTCTTGGGTGCCTGGCGTGACGAGGTCACTCGAGCGATGAAGGCCCTTGGCGGTCTGCTCACGGCCTCGTCGGTTTCAGGGCACCGTGACAAACGGCGATAACGGTGATCGTGCGATTCTCCCCTTACTCCATCTCTACGGTGATCGTGCGAGTCTTGAGACAAGAATTTTGCTTTGTCTTGAACTGGGATGTCGTGGGTGCAGGGGCTTTTGTTCCGTGATTTTGTGGGCACAGCTGACTGACAAATCTTCCAATATTCGATTGCATAGTAATGTGGCAGTTAATGCGGCTATTTTTGCACTCAGATGTCGAATTGAGTGCAGGAATCCTATGTGTTCTGTACAGCATAGAAAGGTTTGCCCGCACATGGCTAGACACCGATGGAGAGGGGACAGTAACAACTTGGCGCAACCTGGAGGAAACGGTCTGTTGATAAATTATTATCCAACGTCCCGGAGTCGCGACAAAGTCACTAAGTCTGTAAAGGCCACAAGAAGGATGCCAAACCAATATAGGGTTCCTTGATGTCCCTTGTCTTCCAGACATCGCTGTTGAGGGTCAATGCTTACTCAGAGTGAAATGTTCTTTGCCATGCACCTCATCGCACCACATCCTTCATGTAGATCGAGATGATAGCCCTGTGGCAATCGAGCTATGCTGACTTCCAATGTTGCGACAAGATGCTACAATACTATATATCCTTTCTGTTGTTGTTGTTGAATGTTTACCAAAGACCTTGCTGCTAGGGTATATGATTTGCCCCGTTTGTTGTCCCTAACCAAGCTCATTTCAATTTTACCTGATGAAATGGATGAGCTGCGTTCGTCCTGGACCTTTCGGACTCCCCAGCTTCAACCTTTGTGCAGCCTACCAATGAATGAAAGCAATTAGGTCAGTGTCAAGAATGCGCCCCAGGCATCACGAAACGTGGGTCAGGAAACATGGTCAAGGAGTCGTCAGGAAGCTTTTCAGCTACGTCAGGACAGCAGAACAAGAAAGCAGATACACTAAGTGGCAAAGAGTCGTGTCAGAAAACATTAGCAACAATGTCAGGAAGAATGAATTTATGAGAATCTCTGGAAATTAACATTCACCTGCGTGCCACCACTCCAACAGATCCACACATATGCCAGGTATGCCAGGGAGGTGCGGAAAGCGACGTAAGAGCAAAACAAAGAAAGGGTGTCACTTCCAGATTGCGACAAGCTTACGCTAATAGACCTGTTGCCTCCAATGGATACGTCTTTTTCCCACAACGTAGGTTCCGATGCAAAGTGTTCAGTCTTTGTATGATGTTCACAGACAGAACAACCGCGTGTATACAGACAGAAAGAGGCCGCGTGTTCAGCAGCAAGAAGACCGATGTCTTAAGCGGTTCTCTAGATTGGACCTGTCACCTATCCCTCCAGGTCACCGAACAAGGCCCTGATCTCCATCTCAAACCAGCTAAAGCTATCATGACAGCATCACCTTCAGCCCAGCACATGTGTTTTGAACCAAGGGTATTGGAGGGGTAATAGATGGTATACTAATAATATATATATAGTATTACAATATATATAGTATTACAATTAGTATGATATATATATATATGTATATAGTGTGTGTTTAATAAGTGTCTATTTTTGGGGAAGCCAAACGAACGGAGGTTTATAGGGGAAGCTTAACCCCAGGCAACCTTTGGGACCTTAAACTGGTTAAAAGTTCTGGAACAAACCGCCAGACATTGGCTTTTCTGTCGTTTGCTTCCATTGTGTAAACCCACATACATCCACATGCTATATAAATACAGGGGCATCAAAACAGATGGATACATGATGATGAGGAGGAGGAGGAGGACGACAATGACGATGACGATGACGGAGATGATATTGTTGATCGGCACGGGAACCGCTGTGACAAGATCCAGGTTTCGTTTCCAAGTCTTAAGAAGTAGGCGTGAGACCTAACCAGCTGATAATTGGTTCAGGGTTTGGTTGGTTCGTTTGGCTTTGCTTTTGCTTGTTTAGGTCTTGGTTTGGCTTGGCTGGCTTCGCTTCTGGCGTGTTTAGGGTTTTGTTTGGCTAGTTTGGCATCGGTGTATTCAGGGTTTAGGGTTTGATTTGACCTACCGCCTGCTGCCTTGCTGCTTTAGGATAATATGTTATGTGTAAGTAGTTATGTTTGCTCGAGGGTAACACCCTGTATGGTCTCCAGTTTCCTGAACTCTTGTGGCCTTGACTCTTCTCTGGTGCCTTGCACCTTACATGGTTTCCAGTTTCCAGCTCGTTTCCTGACACGGTCCCTGGGTTCCTGACTCTTGCGGCCATGACTCGTCTCACCTGGCTTCCTCCTTGAGTCCGATGTAGTTGGGCAGTTTGTTTCCTCACACGTTGTTTGTGTTTCTTACTTGAGGTGCCTGACTTGACCCCGGAAGTTTCCAGAAACACCGCCGGCGGTGTTGTGGAAACGCCTGAAAACCCAGGGGTTTTGCTGACTTTGCACTCTGGTGTGCTCACTAGTGGTGTCGCTACCATCCAGGCACGTGGACGGAGGGTCTCGGCCCGGGAGGGCTCGCGACGCTTGGCCACAGGTGGGAACCACTGTGGTGGGCCGGTTCAAGTGATGCGTGGAGCAAACCCGAGTTCAAAGTTCAAAGTGTGTTTTGTTTGTGTTCTTTTGGATGGACGTAAGTCGAAGAGGCATTGAAAAGAGACGAATTGTTTACTTGGAATAATTCCCAGTCTGTTGCGAGATTGTGTTCCCACAACCACTTCAAACCTCTTCGACGATCCTAGCACGCAGTGATTCTTCAAAATTCCTCCGTGGTGGTTGAAATGTGTTCAAAAATGTTCCAAACATATTTCTCGTTGCGGGATGGTTATCCCAAGTGATGAATGTTTCGGGATGTTCGGATTTCCCATCCCTTTCATTTCCTTTTGCTGAATCGCTCCCACAGGTTTGCTACGACTCCTGGAAAACAGCTTCTCAGCCTTCTCGACCCCTTTGTTGCTGCAGACGGCCTGGCAGTCGTTGGGACCCTTGGACCGGACCTGCGACCATCGGTTTGAGGGCCGACTGGTCGGACGAGCGTCGCGTCCGGTGCGTCCGCTCGACGCTGCATGCATGCAGTTCGATTGAGCTGTTCTGCCAGAAAGGGTTGGTTCAACAGTTTCTTAATCCGTTTCTTCCGGAAGAATCGCAAGATTCACGTTGCAAATGTTTTCACCAACCTCTCCTCAGAGGTGGCTTTGTGTAGCTACCTCGGGTCAGGCGGGGTGCTATGCGCCGCTGGTGTTTGTCGGGTGGTGCAGCTGAACTTGGTGTTCCCAAATGAAATTTGGTGAAAGGAGCCCACACAGAAGAGACCAGACGCTTGATGGGTGTACAACGGCACGTAACGGCACCAAAGAAGATAAAGAAGTGATTTCTCCATGTGTGTCCATTGTTTAGGGTTGACCTTGCCTCGTTGCTTCCAAGCATGGCGGGATTTGCCAACCTTTGTCCGCAAATATCGTGTCAAGCAACAGCACGTGAAGTGGGTCCACGGGTCCTTCGGGCAGTTCGCCTTACCCAAAAGTTGACCCGTTCCCGACCCTTGTTAGAAGAAGTCCTGCAAGGCAGTAGTTTCTTGTTTGTTTTGTATGGCCGTTTACTTCCCTGAGACAAACGCATGTGAAGAATGGCATTGGCATTGGGTGGATAATGTGCCCACAAACCGAAGTTGTCTCCAAGATTCTAAGCCACTCACACCTGCTCAAGTGCCTCATGTCTCATCCAAAACCGCATAACAGCCGTCCCTCCAAACCGCTTTTCGAAAACAGGTCCACAGGCTTCCAACAGCGGTAGAAGCCACTCCTCCACCCTACCACTTGTCCACTCAGCAGTCCTTCGCCAGTTCGGGTTGGCATGGGTGAATTGCCCGGCCGAACGCCGCCCCTTTCTCCACGACGCTCGCCACGCTCCTTTGTCTCACTGCTTGGGCAACAACCGGCGTTGTGCGACCGGCGTTTTGCGACCGCGGGTGCAGCGATGGTGTGGCAGTATTGATGGTGCGATCTATTCACGTGAAAAGAAGGCCAAGTGTGGCGGAATTGAATTGATGTGAAAAATAGTCTGATGTTTGCCATGATCGAAAGATGACATCCCTGCTTGCAACAATAAGGTCTTCACAGCACATTTAGCTAGCCAGCGTTCTAATTTCGGAAACAGGTGGTTTTTGTTAGTTGTGAAACCATGAGCTTTGGCAACAGCCACTTCAGCTTTTGAAAAGCGGGTCTCAGAACACGCAAAGGTTCCGAATTGTGTGAATGAAAGTATATAGCAGCACTCTGCAATTCTCGTCAATGAACAGAAGTGCCATTTGCTTTGAGATATGTACAGACATGTGACATCTTATAAGGAACAAGCTCGGTCCAGCTTATCGCAAGTCAAGAAACAGTAGCTTGTTCACTTGCACAGATGCGTGGACTGTGCCGTTTCATACATTTGACAGCAGATTCAGCAACGCACTGTGTTCTTGTTCACAGCATTGACAGTAGGAGAATTCAGCTTAGCCATAGTGGCAAACATAGAATTGGTTGGGAGGAGAGAGAAGTGCCTCCTTAGGAGGAAAGACAAAAGCAGCCTTCCGATTCAGTGAGGAACCGTTTTTCATGAAAAAAGGAGAGAGGGCAGGATATTCAAGATCCCAGCCCAGAAAAGCCGTCAGTAGAAGTGAGCCAGGAATAAGAAGTGTGAGACAAGAGGGTAAGAAAAGCCCTGGGAATCGGCGTACCAGACAGGAAAGCAATGGAAGGCAATGGACAAATAGCTGGCAAGGCCAGAATGTTGAGCTCTATTCGGAGAGTGACTGGAGGTGGGGTCAGTGGCGAAGGAACTGGCATGACCGCTGGAACTGGGACGATGACTGCAATACGACTTCTTCCTTCACACATGACTCGGACACTCGAGGCTGTGAGTATTTTCAATCCGGCTTCTGCAATTGGGGCGCCTCCTGCTACTTTTCCCATGATTGGACTGACATGGACCACTCCAGCATGCCCGACGGACCGGAGTGGTCGCACGAACACTTCAGCACGGAACCCTTGGTGGACGACCCACAGACGTCTGCGACGGCCGGCTTGGTCTTCGTCTTGGCCGCTGAGGCCTTCGAAGCCTTCGAGACGCCTTCGTCTGAGATGATGACTGAGGATACCGGACCCATGCGCGTGCGGGTGGTGGGAGATTTGGACGAGTTGGGCTACTCCGAAGAGTTGGAGGAGTGGGATCCCAATTTGGGTGTCGATCTTTGCTGGGAGGGCGATGTTTGGCGCTCCTTTGTGATCGCGGTTGAGCCTGAGACCTTGGTGCACTTCAGCCTCGTAAGGCTGGATCAGCCGGAGAGTCATCCAGGACTTCTGCAGGGCTGGCGCCGCTGGGAGATGCATGAGCAGCGGCATTTCACCTGGAGTCCACGACATTCTTTGCGAGCTCCGAAGGTCGTGTGGCTGGAGAGTTTGGAAATCGGTTTCGTTTGCATGAGTTTCGGTTCTCTAGAAGTTGACAACCGATTTTCCAACCCCTTCGGTCAGACAAGATTAGACAAGTATCTTCATGGAATCTTCCAGATCATCCAACGATTTCAACCTGAGATGTATCCATTAAGCACGCTTCTATGGCCGCCGTATGGTCCCATAGTTCATATGTGTTCGTGGGTCGAGCCTTGTATGGGGGCGCACGAGATTTTGCAGGTTTACTCTGCCAGATACCTTGGAATCAGAGACTGACTGGTAGTTCGTAGAGACAACAATTTGATCTGATGATAATCCCAACTGTTGTCCAGATGTTCCTGGATTCCTGGAGTCTTAAGGTGCCCAAAAGGTGTATATACTGTTCGTATTTGTTTGTGATTGTCTGTGTATAATATTTTCACGTGAAACTCCAGTGTGCTTTGTGTGCTTTATACCAGTGGCGGAATTCGGGAGGCCAATGACAGGTTGAAACTTCATGACCCATCCACGAGGCCAATGAGATCTTGGAAGTCTTCCTGCGGCGTGAGCACTGCGACGGTCGCTCCGTGACTTCCTGGTCGATCCCACGTCGCGTGCTGCCGCGCCGGGCAGTGGTCACGGCACCAGGCGGGCCGCGCGAGCTGGGATGCCCGGTGTCCGAAGGTCCGGGTGGACTGAAGAGCCAAACATTCCGACTTCTACTAGTAAGGCACTTGTTACTAGAAGCGATGCACTTGTTTCTAATAGCTTCTTGTTGCTACTAGTAAGGCACCTGTTACTAGTAGTTTCGGGTTGTTAAGCCAAACTGGTGGTGTTATTTGGTTGCGTACGATTTGAGCTCTGTCATAGAGGTCACTTGTGGCCAAGTGGAGATCTTCAAGAAACAATACTCGGAATAAAAAACAACATATATGTTGTATTGTATATTAGGATGTTCTTTGCAGTTCTCAGCACGGTTCCCCTTTCCAAAAGAAATGAGAATGGGACCGCGTGGACCCTTGAAGGCGTATGAGGCTGATCTTGTGGACCTCTTTGGAGGTTCTTTGTACGTTGTGGTCCTGTTTGGCACGTGGCCATGTCTGGTGTGGGCTTTGTGTATTTGGATAGCAGAAAGACTACAGTACGTACTACAAGATATGATATATGTCAGGAACAAAGTACGACATATATGGATATACACAGAGAAGTGAATGTGATACCATGTGTTCGCTTGGCAGGTAATCCGAGAAAGAACACACAGTATTTTTGTTGGAATATCCCATGACAATTGCGATTGCTGTGTACATCCGGTCGCCCATTTGGCAACCACTGCTTCCCTCGCACGTGGGTGTTAATAGTCTCTAGATCTCCAACCACCTCAGGTGGTAGATCTTGAAAACTACCCGCCCTACAGGGAGTCAGTATCATTCTCCCCTACGTGAGCTTTTTCGTGCGGTGTTCGCCTATGAGGGCGGCCGTTTTGGCAAGAGCCTGGCACTCTGAGATGCTTCACCTTTGATGGGCCTGGAGGAGTGCTGAAGTATTGTTTGCGGCTTGGGCAATGGAAATTGGACTTCAGCTACATATTGGGCATTTTCTGTAGCAATGGAAAGGGATTGGTGAAATGGATTGGAAAAGGATTGCTTCAGCGCATGCTTTTGCTGAAGTCCTCCCACCAGCCCTGAAGTTGGGCTCACGAGTGGGGATTCTCTTGTTCAACCCTGGTACCTTTCAAGTTCATTTCAATTGTGCACTGGCTTGATTTGATTGGATTCGTAATTATACAGCTTGTCGACCTCATGTACCTCTCTACAGTATCATCCAGGTCACCTTCGCCCACTTCATGCTTACCCATCATCCTCCTGCGGCGTGCTTCTTTCTGAGCGCCATCCTTAGTCCTTGTCCACAGACTCTTCTTCACGCGTGTTCCCGCTCATGTTCATCCCTATGATAAATGTTGCTCCCAACGCCTTGGCTTGACCTCAGGGTTTGCTGCGTGTACCAATCACTTTCCCAGGCTTTGAATCTCACACTTGTTGAACATGTTTTTTGCTCCAACCTGTAGCGTTCAGCATGTGTACACATGTGTACACCCACCAGACCTAGAAAGAGCCAGCGCGTGTGTGTGTTTAAGGTATGTGCCAAAATTGGATGATCTTTCTGAAGCGTCTTTAGTGCTTTTCCTCCACTCGATGCACGCCACTTGGCTGGGTCAGCCTGGGGTCCTGGTATGGGTGTGGGGGCTGGTGCTTCCATCCCATGTCTTGGAGGCAAAGGCTACGTCTCGAGTCAAAATGCGGATTGGATGGATTGTAGCGGAAAAACGCGGAATCATGCCGATTATATGGATCACGGTGTCGCGCCATTGTTGTGATATTACGCCATTGAAGCTCAGATTGCGCCATGAAGTCTCAAGTGAATTCGCCCCCTGGCCGTGGCCAATTGGATCCATTTGATTGCGACATTGCCACACCAATGCGGCAACATTTTGTTAGGTGAATGACTCATGGGCCACGGGACTTGACTGATTGTTGACAGTCTTCAGCAGGGGCCCTAGCCTCAGCCTAGAGAGATTGGGTCCTTCATGTGCTGAGCCGAGGGCAAGCTGGAGGGTGACAACAACCTCTTCTTTGAATCCGAGACTTGGAAATTATTGGTTGAATACATATTATATACTGTAGGTAGATAGATCGGTTGATCCCAAACATGGTCCCTCAGCGATAGTTAGCTCTGATCATGTACTCCCAAACATTACAGCTGTAGGGTGAATTGCACCCAGAGATTGCCAATGGGTCTCGTGGGGGCCTTTTATCCAACATGGTACTTGTATAGGACATTAGGACGTGTTCAAAAGGCTAGTATGGCTTCACCCAGATGTTGGTGGATGGTTTTGTTGGTTCATATCCGAAAAGCCCGCGTACAGTCGTAATCCTACAGCGAATGGTGCTGTGGAAGGGTTTGGAAGGATCTTCCTCCAGATAGGACACCTGACTATAAAACCAACCAAGGCACTTATGTGGGAACAAATCCGGATAGGATGTCTTTTGTTAATTCGATGTAATTGCATAAGACTTTGCCCATTTTTCGTGGTCGAATCCTCCGACCAACTTGGTCCCATCCAATGGTGCGGAATTGGTCCAACGAAGCTGGGGATGTGTCGAGCCGTTCCTGGGGTGAAGTGTTCACCTTTGCATGATTATGTTCCCAGCCTTTTTGTACACGTTCCTACAGTCCAAAGGGCAGGAGGTTGCTGTGACTACACGACGCTACATTTGCATATATGATAGCAGTTGTTTTGAAATGGTGGATGAAACACTGCGGGTCCTCGTCCCTCAACTTTCAGGAATTTTCTCCCTGTAAAAAAGGGTTTGTTTTGGCTCAACACATTGCATTCAATATCTTGTGCCGTGTCCCTCATCAAGCGGGAAAGGGTCCCATGACAGCAGATGTTGACACTCTCAGGAGTCACAGCCACAGGGTGGTTTTGGGATTTTGGAAACCTGCATGAAAGCTGCATCAACAAATCGGGTGGTGTTTTTGTTTTACCCTCCTTGAGAAGGTGCTTGAGGATGTGCACTAGGTTCCGACTACCTTCTCAGTAGGTGGTTTTATCCATACGGAAAGTCTCGCTCTAAGTCGCGCTCTATTAAACTCTATTATATATCTCGCTCTCATTGGACCATATTGGACCAACCACACAGGTAAGGCCCAACGAGAAGGCATGTCAAAGCAGTTGGATGACTACGCCTAGACATGGTGAAGATGACAAGAGCTCGGCAACCCCATTGTCCAACCTTTCCAAACATGCAATATTTGATGTGACAACTGATAGGATCACGTAAGTCCATTTTTGATGTCGTGGCGTGATGGAGTGGAAAGTGATGCAGATGTGATGTGCGTGTTTTGAGAAGTGTTTTGCAGTGGTTTGTTATGTATTGAAGTCTGGGATGGAGGTTATTCCATAAGGTGAAGCAGTAAAGTTATGTATCGGCCCATTGTCAGGCCACTGGACACCTTAAGATTTCATCAGCGCAGCATTTCATCACAGACAGATGCAAACCGTTTCAATCTGGCACTGTCACTCCTCATCAAATTCAAACCCCAATAAGTACATGCTTGATGGGTAGTTATCGTTTCACAAGGGGAAAAAGGCATGGTGTGTTTCCAAATTATCTCTCGTTTCATTACGTACTTGTCACAGATTTCATATGACTTCAAATTTCACATCAACACAATAACAAAAACACCGGAATCGGTCAGAGCTCACCAGCAACACATAGCATCATCCCGCTTATCAAAACGCCACATTTATAGGAGCATGCTTCCCATTCCACCAGGACAAGGCGCCACTCCCTCGCCTCGCCCAGCTGCATGGCAGGGCGACGGATATAATCTCAAGCTCAGCGACTCGCGGCAGGCTTCGTTGACCAGAGAGCCATTCATCCACTCCACAATCACTACATTGGACTACAAAACAGCCAGTTCTCAGTCCATGCAAACCCCATAGCACTGCACAATAGACCAAGTAAGTCTTTGCCACCTGCTGCTCTGAACTTTCGATGCCCCCACAGCACCGTGTCCCGCCACCAGAATTCCAAGCAAAACGCTCCACACCTGCTCCGCACCCGCCTGCCGCTTTCCGGGCGACCGTTTTTGCAAGCTTCATTCTTGCTTACTATACAGCAAGCCACGGTTGATGAATATATTAATTATATATGTATATATGACCGATGCAGAAAAAGGTATGATGTATATTTAGGATCTTTGACTAATGTACCCCCTTCGAGTCTTCAAGCGATGCCCATCACATCCGACCTCACGACCTGGTCACGCCATCAGGATACTCCCCTCCGGGTACTACTGGATGAGGATCCCCGATGCCCTTCCTCGCTGCGCGAGCGGACGCTTGTGCTGAATCCTGGAATTAACCCACAGCGATGGGTCTTTTTGGAACAATCGTTGAAAAAAGATTGAAGCTGTCATCAAATGTCCATTTTATTTTGGAAGAGAGGGTCATATATAAATATATACTATAAATGACAAGCACTTGCTTTGTGTTCCTTCTTGACCTTAATGTTGTAGACCCCACCAGAGGGTGAAATGACAGAAGGCCCAAAGAACAGGCCTCTACAATACAACCTGGCGTCGCAGTTTTTCCATCACACTCTCAGAAGTTTGTATAGTTATATAATGTTAATGAGCTACCTTAAATTAATATGATTAATATAAATCAACCAGATGTGACTGAGTTACTTGTCAGAATGCAAAAGGAAATCAATCGTGGTCGAGCATGTTGAGTGCTTTTTTGGGTGGACGTTGGTCAAAGCAAGCCACATCAAGCCGCAACGGACAAATTGATGAACATCCCCCCGAAAAAGGAACTTGTTCATGATTGTCATTCTTGAAGTATTCGTCCGTTGCACGGTTGATGACCCGCACGTGCAACCCGAACGTTCGTGGACCCGAGGTGTGTCTTGCTGGTGCCTCAGTGTCCGGTGGACCGAGAACGAGGTGATGGCGCGGGCATTTGGCTCCGGAAAGGATGGTACGAGGAGTCCAGGTATGATGAGAAGGCGCGACGAACAATGAGCAGAGCACCCTGAGCATCATGTTCCCTGCGGACTCTCCTGGCCATTAGTCCAGAGGGCTACTACTTCTTGATACTTCTTGCCAAGAGTCCGCAGCAGTAGTTTAAGGGAATATGCACAACATTGTTTCCACAAAAGAGGTTCATCGAGCTGATACCTGCGACATTTGGTGTTCTTGTCCAGCATGTTTGTTGAACCACTGGAGAAAGAAGAGGACTTCTAGACCTGTGCTGCAGATGCTTTGTATACCTTTCAACAAGGAAGAAAGTAGGTGCATGACGTATATATATATTATATATCGTATATATTGTGTTTCAAACTCCTGCTGCATTTGAAGTCATTATTAGATGGTTTTCAAGGCTCGGCCCACAGGTGGAGGCTTCATTGATGGCTTTGGTGGAGATGGTTCGTGCACCTTGGGAGCTACAAAGAAGTTTTTTCCGCTGGGATTGCAGCTTCAAAACTACACCCTACGAGAATGTTCACAGCAGACAAATCACAAATCCTGCTTCCAGGGGGCAAGCCATCCACATGTACCAATGCTTGCTAGAGTCAGAGCTTGTTGGTCAATGTGAGAATTTGTCTCAAAACAGGAAAGCCACCACAGACTAGGTGGGCAGCGATTTCAGAAACGGGTGTTGGATGGTGTTTGGATAATGTCACGTCCATAGGCATCACTGATCTTTGGAAACAGCCTTCATTCTTTTGACGGGTCTCAAAAAACAGATCGGCACCTTCCCGCCTGCCCAAGCTCACTCTAATGAACAGACACCAGAATGTGCAGCAGGTTAATTATGTTCATGGTCTAAGTTTTGGCCTCAAAGTTCCAAATTCCGCCCTTTGGGTGATTTGCTAGCAGCTAAGAAAGCCACCGCCAACCCTTCTGTTCAACAACGAATCCTCTTTGGAATTTCCAAGGACACCATTTCCCAGGACACCATCCCGTCACCGAAAGCTGTTGAGCCGCGCTTCGCTCGAGCGAGGCCCAGTATGGGCTCTCACGCGCTCCGAGCCTTTGCGGCTCCTCCATGGGCGCCTACGGGGCCCTGGAGCTGACCAGCCGCAACCCGCCACTCGCAAAAAGACGAAGACAAATGAGGATTGTTATTTAAGGGATGTGAAGGGATGTGAAGGTGAAGGAACAAAAGTCAAAAGTCTCTGGGTTTTTCGGAGAGTTGAGCTGTACTTCGTGATGTTGAGTGCGTTCATTGACAAGCCCACTCATCAACTGATTCGGATGATGACTCAGTCACTACTGTAGGCTGAATAGATGGATTTTTGGGAGGGAATCCAAGGGTCACTCTGGATGCTTGGAGGCTTTTGGAATTTCAACGCCGGGGAGAACACTCTCGATGCCGTTGAACTGAGACCCAGTTGAAAGGAGTCAAAATTGTTCAGAAACATTTGCTAAACAGCCCTGGAGTAACTACTGTGTACCGAATCAGATTTTGCCAAAAAAGCAGCAGCTGGCTGAGAATCGCTTTGCCCCAAAGCTGACAAGAACTTGCTCGCGCGTGGTTGACAAGCACTTTGCCAAAAAAAAATCCAAAATCATATGCTGAAAGAATGCTTTGCTTGAAAAGCTGTGCTCAGCACTTTGTTGGAAAGCCTTGTCCTTCAGAGAAAAGTAAAGTATTGATCAGATTCAGCTGGCTGACAAGCACTTTGCCACAAAGCACCGTGAAGAAATAACTTTCCCGGGGTCCCGAAACACCACTTTTTGACGCACACTTTTTGAGTCCCGCTGAGTCGGCGAACGGAGTGCAACGGGCACCTGAGGGCAACCTAACGAAAGCATCGAACGAACAGGCCTCAAGTCCACGGAACAGGCACCCCTTCGGCCGGTGAAAGCCATCCAAGCTGTTTGCCCACGGATGTAATGAATCCAGATACACGGTCGGACAACCACTGAAACACCATGCTACAGAGCATCCTGCTAAAGCCCACTTAGCTGAGAAGCACCGCGCTGCACGGCTGTGCACTGAAGCACCCTGCAACAGCACCGTGCTGCGTCCTTGCTCCTACTACCGATGCCCTTTGCTCCTAGTAGCATCCTTGCTCCTAGTAGTAGGGCCAGGAGCCCCAAGTAGCATCCATGCTCCTACAGCACCATTTGTTGTGCCCAAAAGAACGCAGTGTTGGTTAAACACGTGCTTCTTCAGTCTACGAACAGCAATCGACCAATGCCTTGGACATGGCTCCGTTGATTCCTACTCGCAATCCGCGCATCCTGTTCGTCTGTCTTCGGACGCTGACCCCTTTCAGGAATGTCTTTGGTGCGGTGGCGCTCATCGCAGCCCATTACGACTTGGATCCCTTGGAGCCATTGGTCCAAAGGCGGGCGAAGGGTCGCGGCTGTTGTTGTCTCATGTGGATTGTCCGTTCCAGCACACTTTGGGGGATATGAAACCTACCAAAAAGGCGGTTGGATGGTCATGGATGGTCAACCTTTTGCTGGGAAAAGGGACTTTGCCAAGCTCGGAAGATTAAGAGGATGTGAATACACTCGCTGTTCATTGTCCTGAACTCATAAAAAAGGACATAGATACATAGATCACAGAATGCATTTAAGCATATTTAAGCTTTTACAACACTTCGAAACATTTATATAAGAACTGAATCGCTGCAAATAATTGAATTTAGTCATGTTTGAAGTCTGCTTGCATTTAGGTGTTCCGTCTCGTAAGGGATGCAAGTTGTGTTCCTGCGATAGCTGTTTTCCATTTGGCACGCATAAAGAGCATGTTAGAATGTGTTAGAATATTGCCGTTTTGATTCGATCAATACAGACATATGACATAAATATTCATTCAGAGCCAGATAGAGGTAGACACACGGATCAATGACCCATACGGACGTGTTGTTTTTTGCATGTTTTTTCATAACCCGAGTCAGGCAGGATGTCGAATGACTCGGTTTGGCCGTGCACCCATTGGATGCAGGGGTCGCCCATTTGTCCAATCACTCAATCAGCTTCCCGGTGGGGGGAAAACTAAAACGCCGCTCCAGCTGCAGATTGACGGAGCCTCAAGCAGTGCCGCTGTGGAGACCTGGCCAAAAGAGATGGCCGGTTGGGTGCAGCCACTCCGAAAAGATGACATGACCAGGCATCCGCAGACTCTCGTGGTGCTTTATACTCTAGTGGTAGCGGTTGCCTAATTGTTGAACCAATTTGTTTTTGAGGGTGAAACCAGCTGGGCGGCCGGGTGTTCGGGATGAAACTGAAGACACACAACAGTTGCTCACATGTGCTATCATTTGCTTGTTTTCACCTGCATTTGGGTTCCCTGAAAAAGGTGTTTCGTTTGCTTCAGTATACAACCTGGAACATCGCCAAGAAACACATTGCATAGTTATTTTGCCTCTGTACTGGTATCCTGCATCAAAATGTCCACCTGCAAGCTGGAGAATGTCCCAAAGCCCTCTCAATTTAAACGGAAGGCTGCTTTCCTTTACACCCATAGGCCATAGGCTACAATAGGGGAGGGCATTCCAGCTGGAATTCCTCTACTGGATATATATGATCCGAGAGGAATCAGCTTCTTAGCTCTGCGATTTCTAGGCAGCAGCGTGTGTCAAGTGTATGACCGAACTCGCTGGTGTTCCCGGTGGATGGGTGACCCTGTGTGTCCGAGACTTGGGTGACCTTGGTGACTGGAGAGACTGCTGGTTCAGCAACTGACGGAAGAGACTGCTGCCTTTTCCTTGGGTCAGTTGGAGGGTCAGTTGGAGACCCTGCCCAAGGCTACCTCTAAGAGCCCTACAGGTTTTGGAGTACAAGGGACTCCTTCTGAAGTGTGGTATTGGTGTTGCGCGCCTTACTACTAGGAGCAAGAACGCTACTAGGGGCTCCTGGCATCGCTACTAGGAGCATTCTTACTACTAGTAACAAGAAGCTAGATGTCTTTGGATCAAAAATTGCCCCGATGATTGATGACTGTCGAGCTGATGTTGACTGCCGCTCGTTTCCCGCTTTTGGAGCCAACTGTTTATAAGTGTTATTCCCAACCGTTTTGGGGCGACGATCATTGTTTGATAACTTTGGAGTTTCTGAAACCCAGCCCGCCTTGTGTTTGGTCAGGCTTCGATCTTTCTGAACATGCGAGGTTCATTCACGCCGAAAATGACAATGTTTGCCCCTACAGCGACATGGAAGAGCTGGTACATCTCTTGAAACTTGGACAGTTTGGAACCGAACAGTCACAGACTAATCAGAAAAAAGGTACCGATGCCAAGTACCTCCCGCAGAGTTTCTCTCAAAACTTCGCATTGCCTCGTTCCGTAGGCCTAGAATGAATAAAGCGGGTAGCTCTTCCAGTTTGATGTTGTTTTTGGGGTATCACTGCTGCAGGTTGGTGCCTTGGCTGACTTTTCTTTTGTGATTGAATTCATGGGGATTTGCTTAGACCTCACTCCTGCCCAGGCACCAGGTCGCATGTTGATTCCGTAAAGTTCTTAATAGCCTCCAGAGACTACTACTAAGCTAAGCTCAGCTTTGCTTGCTCCGCTTCTGTTCGCCTTTTCGCAGGTCCCCAGGTCGACCTTGCTCTGCTCAGGAGAGTCCATGCCCGCGCTGAAGTACATTTGACCAGCTTCGAGGCCTTTTTACAGGGCAGTTGCCACAAAGGGTGGGGGCGATATGTTCTGACGTGAAGCCTTGGTTTTGTTGGCGTGAGCTGCTGCCATAGCTGTCCTAGCCAAGAGTTGGAATGTTCTGCGGGACCTAGTCAATATATTAGTCAATAAAATCTGTCAAAGAGTCGCTTATGAAGTGGGTAGTACATGGTAATACAGGTCATCTATCAATCGGTGATTTTTATCATGTTGTGGAGGTAACTACATAGTCACTAGGCATTTCATTTATCGATCAGAAACCCTCCCGTTTCAGCCAGCCTCGGGCCTTCCAATTCGTTCGAGGACACTTGGAGCAGCCAGGGTCACTGCGCAGATTGTGTGGCTTTCTGGGCTCAGAGTGTTGCATCTTGATGCAAGCAAACACGTGGGAGAGTTCAGCTAGACTAGCGTCAGCTTTGCAGGTCACCTAGTGTTTATAAAAGAAGAGTTGCGGGAAGGCCAGCGACAGCCAGCAACTATATATATATATATGAATTGAAGGTTAAATGGTCAGAGATGGACCCTGCACAGACATTGGCAAGTGCCCCTAAGGTGAGATGAGGACCCTTAGGTGCAGGTTGAGAAGTTCTTTAACTATTTAGGGGGATCCTTTGGAATCACTTAAGGCTGGGCAACCCCACGGAGCGACCCACCGAGCGACTGGAATGACACCTGATTGGACGACCGAAATGGTACCAAAAAACACCTCAAAGTACTATAAATATCTATAAATACATTATAAATACATACATAATATCCTTGTATATTCATATGTTTTCACTCGCCCAGGTGGTGAGAGCGAGTCGTTCTTCCTCGAATCGTTACGCCGCTTGCGCCTTCCGGCTTCCGGATGTCAGGTCCCAGGCGCTCCAGCTTTGGGCGAGGAGCTTTTCACTTGGCTGGCGACGGCAGGAGAGGAGTTGTGTGTTTTCGTCTCAGAATTGGGGCGCGAATGATAAAGCACCCGTGTTATGTAGCTGTGTTGTCATCACAAGTCAAGCGTCAGCACAGTTGCCAGCGCAAACGCTGTGTGATGGTTTCCAGCACAAACTTTGATTCCTGTGCCCAATCTCAAGGAGCATGATGCGCCGGAGAAACATGATTTGAAAAATGGCTTTGGACGTATCGCTGTATATAGTATCCTAGTGGAGCACGTGGCAAGTGAGCAGCTGCATCTGTCTTGGTGTGGTTGATGCCATTGGAACCAAAGTTATCCTGTTTCAAGTGACGGTTGTGGAGGGAATCTCTTGCTTTAGAATGTTTGAGAGATATGTTATTTACTGTACATATTTTTTGTATTGGCATGTTCGCTAGATAGTCCTGTAGGGCTGGAGGGTCGATTGACCTCAGATCATCATCCATTACCATGCCATCTATGTGAAACAAGATGCAAGTGTTTGAATGTTTTTTTCAGTGTTAATATTTGTCGTGGTTCATATAAAATGCGCGAGCAGTGGGCAAACCATATTGATACCTTTGAACTTTCAACCATGCCACACATATTGTTTTCTGCCTGCCCAACAGGGAGTAGCCAGTGAAATATCCAGCAGACCGACGATGGCAGCCGGACGATCACTTTTTCGGACCCATGGCAGACATGCAAGAACTGGAACAAGTTTCAAGCAAGCCTAGCAAGCCTTCAGTTGAATTCGCAACCCCTCACCTTCCAAAGACAGGTTCCAAAAATGAATGGCAGTAGTTGCAAGCTTTGTTTCAAAAAGAGGAAGTGAGGAACATGGAGAACCTGCTTTGATGGCATGCAAGGAACGCGAGATCCATTGTGTCATGTTCTGTCCACCTGGTTGGGCAAAGATTCCAACCGATTGAACATCAGCGGACAGCACGCTGGTTGAGCAACTGAAAGCAGGTCATTTGCATTCCGTTGGTGTCCCAGGGTGATCATCGGATGCTTCTTGTCCTCGAGAGGGATCCCACGATGCTGCTATGGTCTGATGTTTACAATAATACTGTAGTTGTTTCTTTTGTGCCCCTCGCGTAGAAAAGGCAGGTGACCTTCTTCCTGCTAGATGTGCTGGTTTTGATGTGTGCTAATATGCTGCGGGTTGGCGCGCCATTGTTCAAGAGCTGCCATGCCAACCTTTCTCTTTCCCCCAAGAAATTAAGTAAGTATATTATATAAGAGTCAGTATATATAAGGATATCCCGTGCACATGCTGGACACCTGACTCTCTTCCTCATGAAACACCCCTGAAAACTATTCCAAGATTGCAGTCGGCAAACAGAAGCGGCACTGCAGTCGCCTGCCCATTCAGTGCTTCCAAACCCCTCAACAGTTGCTTGGGTCATTTTGCCCAGAGTATCAAGTAGAGATAGTATCAGTGGCGTCCATCCAGAAGTGAACTCTTGGACTTGGAGCCACATGGACTTCGTCTGGGACTTTAAGTCAGGCGCCCCGGCCCAAGTCTTTTTCTCGATGGAGACGACGAAGCGCGACGAAGCACCGGATTCTGGCAAAACACTTGCGACCGGCAGCGGATTTGGTACTGGGGACTTTGGAATGTTTCACCCACCTGATTTGAGTCGGGGGTGCAGCAGTCGTGACTGGTCCGGAATCCCATGATCCCGATGATCCTGGCTAGGGTTAAAGGATAAAGCAGTACCTAGGCCCGGATGCCCGGACATTCCCCTGAAATCTCCACCACCGGGCCCCGATGGCCAGAGGACATACTTAAGAAATGCATCCTCCTACTTACTTGCAACTACCCTGTTGGTAGAAGACAACGCAAAGGGTATGCGCCCACACCTAGATGAATAGGCAAATCTACTCGGATTGCTGTCGTCCTAGAAGTCCTTGGCCACAGTAAGTATCCGGAGGTCAATGATATTTTCCACCTAGACCAGTAAAAGTTTGCAAACCTTGCACACAAGCCCCTGCAGGACGAAAGATCCTGCTACACTGCTACCCTACTGGCACCCTGAAAACAGGATTCACGAAAAACAATTTATTCGAATTATTCACTGCTGCTGTTATGCTAGGCGATTGGGCAAGCCTTTCGCCATGACTCCCAGCAACGCTCTGCAGAGGCGAGCTGATCTTGGGTGGCAGCATCATTCCCCTCACTCGATTTTCCACTGACTGACGTTCAAAGCGACCAAAGGACGTGCACAGGATAGCACAGGATGAATGGCTGGATTCACATTCCCCGTATGTACTGGCTTGGTAGTTTCTACATGTGTCCGTACCCGTTTTTTTTGCAAGAGAACACACAGGTTCACTTGGACTCGCTTGGATAAAACAAGCATTTCATCGGGTCATAGAATCTGTTCGATGCAGCGAGAGAATCCAAAGCCGACAGTTGGTATTTGGATGGACACATATTGTGACGCACCACTGACTCAGAGCAGCATCCGTTGGATTCTTGGGGAATGCTTGAGACCTATTGTAAATAATTGACCTAAGACTATTCTTTGTCCAATCTTTGTGGTCACTCATACGAGAAGACTATGTTCCTTACTGACACACCTAGGTGTGTGACACCCCGTCTTAAGGGGATTCACCATAATTCATTGCAGGCAAATCGCAGGGCAGTGCAAGCAGCCCATCCAGTCTTGCACCAGCGAAGACACTGGATGTGTGCTGGTGATATCGATCCGGGACGCTGGATCGATGTGCCTGCCTTCAAGATCTGTGAGTTTAGGCTATATTGTTGCGGACTCCTTCACCTTGCGGTTTGTACATGGCCATTGACAGGCTCGGGTCGTCTTTAAATAACTTAGAGTCAAGTGTGAACTCAGAAGACTTCACAAGTGTGTGTGTGTGTGTGTGTGTGTGTGGGGGCGCCCGCGCGCGTGTTCGTGCTTGCGTTAGTAGGTGCGAGTGTGCGCATGCGTGTGTGTGTGTGTGTGCCCTGCTGGTGACATGCAGGGCAGGTTGTAACAATTGGTCATGCAGGGGGCTGGTTGTTCATCCCAACAGCGGAGCGCTTATCCCTGGCTTAGGTCGGGTTTGGATGGCAGGCAACCCGGTGCCAGGGAGCAGAAGCCTCCGCCATGTAGCATCAAGCACACTTGACGGTGATGGTTTCTCTATGTTTGTCTCCAACATGGGTAACCACTTGGAGAACCTGTGTTTGCCAAACATCCATATTACATCAACGCCATCAAATAGATTCTACTAGAATCTAGAACAAACTCGTTCAGATATCAGCCACAACTACTCTCTCCGAACTCGATCTGTAACTGTAATCCTCTTCGATTTGTATCCTCTTGTGTTGCATCAGTGCCGTGGTTCGACTTCTGACATGGACTGCTCCGTCGTTTGACATTGCAATCGAGGCAGAGCGCCAGCGTTTGGCGCGGAGCTTGGCTGGCGGGCAGCGGCGCTTGGCCATGAGCGTGGCGCTGAGCGTCTGTGCGCGCTTGATGAGTCAATGGTAAGACATCCCAAAACACAAAAAAACTGCAGGTTTTTTGCAGTTTTCTACCAGTCCAGACAAACATGGTCATGTTGCAAGAGTTGCTCCCTATAAACCGACATAGGGTGCAAAAATCAAAGAATTTTCCGCCGGCTAGCCCGAGTCATGTTAGAGGCAAACAAGCAGGATTTGCTGTAAATACCAGTGAAATGTGGCTTCCAAACTCCTTCAAGAGGTTTTGACCAAGAAAGGCCAAATTTGATCTCAGGAGCTACCTCTGCGACTGTATATATCTTCTATTTGACACGTTGCCTGGGCACCCCCAACTCTGCATCTTCTATTTGAATTAATTCCCGAATATCTTCTATCTTTGAGGTAAACAGTATATATATATAAGAATTATTGCCTCGAGGGGGGTGCAGATGTTTGTCCACCCAAAAGGCAAATCAAGTGGTGGATGGAACATTCTTGTGTCTGATTCTTTTAGTGGATCCCTGGGCCCTACTTTGCCATTGCGACTGGCAACTCGTGCCCACCATGTCCCCGAACCGCCCAGCTCAAACCCCTTGTGGATGGTAACTGCATGGGACCAACGTGTGTTCAACCAATGGACAGCAATCCTCAACATTCCATAAAGTAATCGGAAGCATGTGGGACCATTAGCATTGGGGAGTTTTTCGCTTCAGTAAATTTGATATGACACCGTACATTCATGCCTGATTTGATTGAATGTGACACTGGATAAATTCTGCCACGTGCATTGACGGTCTAGCATGAGACATGTACCAAGGTGCACTCAGTGAACCTCGCCACAAGCCGCAGAACTCCCATCCTCGAAGACAAGAATACTGTACTGTAACATACTGTAACTGTAACTTAAATTTGCTTTGTGCAAAGAGAACTCGCATCGGACGGCCAGAAGTCCCTCGTGTCCAATCCTGCGGGCCCCAAAACACTCCATGGACTCAGCTGGTGCGTGTGCATTTTTCGATCACCCCATCTCTGGAGCCAACCCTTTGATGAGGACTTTCTTGGCCCTCGGAAGTGGTTTGGGATTCCTCATCCTCATCCTCCCAAGGCCTTTGCCATACCGACGTGGTCCGTTTGCAGCTGGTCTTCGATGGGTGGCAGCGCTTTCTTCGGCGCAGCCGGCGGGCCCGGGACTTCATCGGGGGCCTTCTCAGCCAGGACGTCAATGAGGGTCTGGCGCTGCCCGTGGAACCTGTTTTGATGGGAGGCTGCGTTTTCCATGTTTTTCCCACATGGTGGTGCCGGGATCTTATTACTTTCACTCACCCACTCACTCACTCACTCACTTACTCAACCAACCAACCAACTCACCTCACCTCACCTCACCTCACCTCACCTCACCTCACCTCACCTCACC